CGACCTTTCAGTTCCAGAGAAGCAAGCACTGACTCACCAGCATATCTTCATTTAAACATAGACGGGTCCGGAACGGACTCTTGCAGGAGGGAACGGCGGAGGGTGGGAAAAGAAACCTTCCCACACTGGAACTATGCGAAAACTAGGAATAACTAGAAACAGAGTTGTAACACTACTACTTAGAGCCGACCGCCAAAAGAACTAGATCCGACAACCGTGTTCTTCATGTTAATTTGGTTTTTTGCTTGTCTTATAGCATTTACATACCCTTCCTTCTTTCTCGCTGCTTCTTTTTGTCTTTTCACGTTGGCACATTTCACATGGTGTTTAGTGAGCTGTACTGATGATCCCCATCCCTAACCACTGCTTCAGTTGTTTGTGTATTGCAGTTTGAGGGATGAAACACAGACAAACATTCTTACATATTCTCAGCACATAGAGATGAATATGTCACATTGCTTATATATTCTAACACACTATCTCCTAATCCCTCCCACGTGCATTAACAAATTCGATATGGGATATTTAAGTCGAAGCTCCCTACTCTATTCCATTTACTTTGGTTTTAAGTATTAACAGACCCGGACTTTTGCAGCGCTGGGTGCTTGTGCGGCTGGTTGGAAGGAGACCTTTCATCCTCCCTCCGCTCCCCCGATCCACTTGTACCATTAAAACATTGCAATTTCGTTCTGGTGAGGATACCATTTTCGAGGCGGTGTACAGCATCAAGAAGAGTTAGCCTGATTTTAAAGCGGATAAGATTCGGACGGGCGAAGCAAACTATTGGTTGATATTTGGACTGTGTTATTGGGAGACCGAAAGCAAGCGAAACAGGATGATAGAATCCAGTAGAATGCCGGACAAGCGGGTCTTGCTTGAATGCCACGGGGGGAGGGGGGGCAGTAAGCTCGAAATAGAGAAGCAGAGAAAAGGTGCTTGCTTGTTGCTTGAGTGCAAGAAAGCTTGATGATGGCACACAGGGTGCTTTCGAAGCTTTTCTGTGTTATTTTTATTTGTCCTTTGTATTTTGTTAAAGTTAATCTAACAATCGATAAATATAGAATTCCATATAAATGCGTTTCAAATAAGTTATTTTACGATTGTGTACAGATAGGAACGGTATTTGCACAGCGCAGTGGGCTGGGACATCCTCCAGATTGTTCAGTTTATTGCAAGTTGCCCGATGAGCAGTATGACGAGATTTAACAGCCTGGCCTAAACAAGCATCAAAAGCGCACGACTGGCTGGCTGCTCCCTGTTAAATGTGTTGGATTCATTCACATTCATAGTTCATTGTTGACGTCTAAAAATTGATCCTGTCTGATAAATTGCAGATGGAGACAGTTCGCGAGCCGGTTATCGCCACTGAGGAGCCATCTCTTCTAAACGGCGAAGAAAAGGCAGAAGAAGATGATGATTTGGTAACGCCCTGGGACGTGACTGCTTCAAGCGATAAAGGAGTTAATTACGATAAATTGATAAGTTAGCATTGTTCTTTTTTGCGCCGAAAATTCGAAATCGATGCATATTTAACGCTTCCTGTCAGATCATTTCATCCCCGCACAATGTTTTTCTTTTTGGCGAAATGGATTTTCGAGTAACATAGTAGGTCTTAAATATACATCATTTTTGTACTTTTTTTTTTCTTAATTTTGACAGTATTTCCAGTTCTTTTTGCCCGAGTTTTGTTATGCGTTTTGCGCTGTGCAACAGCAGTACAAAACGCATATTGTCAGGGGGTTGTGTGTGTGTGTGTGTGCGTGTGTGTGTGTGTGCGTGTGTATGTGTGTGCGTGTGTATGTTTGTCCGCAGCAACTTGCCCGTAACTTTTAACTCGGGAACCACAAAAGCTAGGAAGCTGAAAATTTAGGGGAACGTTTCCCACCCACGTGTGACCCCGCTAATTTAAATTCAGCTTCCCCGTACTCGCGGGTAACGCGTACGGCTTCGTGGAAGTTTTTTACGGGTAAGTTAATATCTCGGGAACCACGGAGTCTGGGAGGCTGAAATTTTA